CCTTTATCCTTTACTTTTCCAGACCCGCCTCCGTTTATACAGGGATGTCTCAACAACCAACTTCTCCGGGCATTATTTTTATTCCCCATCGATAGATACGACCTTTGAAATGCTCCCAGTGGGTCCCCAGTCTCCAATGTGCACTGATGATAGACACTCGACGGAGATCTCTAAGTATTTGCTTAACGAAGGCATGATTTAATAAAGAATCCACTCATGCAGTTCCTCCCTTTTGGGTAATAGCTAGTCTGGGACCGCGTTGATGCGGATGTTCTTTAGTGGGTACATTACCGTATTAAAAAAGGAAACTATCTTGAGAAGAAAACATCAGGTCCAACAGGTTCTGATGACCATCTCCCTTGACAACAAGCACTTATGTCTGACGATATTTAAGTTTATTATGGCGCCAGCCCCTCACCTTCCCCATCCATCCATTCACACCAGAAAATGGGAACTTGGGGCGGCGGCGGCTGTTGGGCGCCTCTATATGTAATTTGAATAATCGTGCTGTTCGTTCTCGTACATTTCACGTGACGGTTCTTCATCCTCTTCGATACCGTCCGTTCCTGGATGGAATTGTGAAACAACAGCTCTTATAAACCTTGGAAACATGATTTTAGGAGCGTTACCCATTGTCTTCCTATGGTTCCCGAACGACTTTTGTGAGAAATTTCGTGCTCGAACTCACTTGTTTTTCCCATTCTGAAAGCGAAGCAAACTTGCGAGCACTTCGGACGCTTTCACTAGCGCCAGAAACCTTGATAAGCCCCCTATTTTCAGCCAAATTGCGTCAACCCTTCGTGATAAGCGCTATCTATAGAGAAGTATCCACGGGCTGTCTTGTTCCTATTGTCTTGACATAATTGAAAGACTAAACTAGCCCCCCCCCACACCTCTCCGTCTGCGGTTCATTCAGGCGAAGGTCATTGTCCGTAAAACCTCGTGAACACGGAATTGGTGAACTTTGACGTTTCCTGGTCGTTGTTACATTCACCCAACGCCCTAACCAGTTTCATCGCCATCCACTTGTCCCTGTTCTCGGCGGTAAGCGCCAGCTGACCAGGAATTCGAGTGACTACTTTATACTCTGGAAGGCTATAATTCAGATGTTATTCTCTAGAAGCTTTTCTTCTGGCATTCTCTCTTTGAGTTACTTCCCTGTGACATTCAAGGCGCTTATAAGATTTCTGAGATTTTCGAGATAATCCTACCTACTTTTTTGTGACGTCGCTTAGCTGTATCATCCACTGCCACATTAATTATTTGCTGGTTTCAGATGATGTTGCCCAAGAATCTCAAAGTGTTAAAGAGGTCCATTTCCGAGAAAATTCTTCGAAAACCCCTCCAAAAGTGAGTCGTTCTTCTTTTTTTCTTTTCTCAATAGATACTTAGAAAGAATGAAGGCATATAAACAAGTAAGCAAATGAACATGTCCCGGAAGGTAGTCCAAACAGTGATGATGTCACCGATAATAGTCTTTTCGGACCATTTCACATAGACCTTCCTTTTGTCAGAATCAAGTAAACTCCTTGTCTTGACAGCAGTTCTTTTGTTAAATCAGCTTTCCAGTTTTCGAAAACCTCCTAATATTTTTGGGAGGTTTTGTGAAGGCTAGGGGGAGGGTTGGCACTTGAGCATCAAACTCGGACTAGTAAGAAGACAGAGAAGTAGAGGAGGCCAAGTAGAAGTGGACATTCCCCCCCCCCTCCAACGCTCATGAGAATCGCTTCTGACCAACCTCCGAAAAAGTTCCTGTTTTCCAACGCACTGGTCAGGTGGGGAGCACATGGTGCACTGGCAGATGGCGCCCGCTAACCGCGCGTACGATAAGAGAGGGTAGACTCTCAGAACGATACCCGGGCCAACTGAGCCTTCTATCGCTTTAGGTTCTATTTACTTGTGCTAGCCTTTTCTGGGACTCTGAAGGACTAATTCTTACATCAGCTGGCTCGCTGCTAGTCGCAGTATTGACCAAATCGCATCTTAAAGTAAATGGAATCGAAATATGCGGCGCATCCAAATTAGTGGCCAACATTGAGAGCTTTTTATCCTAACGTTTTCATTTGTTCCTCTGACCGGGTTCAACAATCCCCAGGTATTCCAAAGTTGATCGGTAGAGTTCTCAAGTGTGAGGATCAGGCGATCCGGTTAAAACAGCGTACGTTTTTCGAAGGCGACTAGAGATTCCACCTGTTGTCCTTACTCCGACGACCACATGCTGAGTGCTGTCATTCACCTGTATGGCGTCCTCATTTTCCCAGTTATAACCACCGTCGTCGTTTTCAAAATAAGTGGAAGAAAGTGAGCGCGCGAGCGTTCGGAAAGGTGGTATAGGATGGTTTGAAGCAGATTACAGGCATGAGGATATTGCGACTAATTCGGTGCCAGAGTACGACCCCCCTTTTTTTTCCCGCGTCGGGTACACCCCTCCTCCCTCCACGGGCGTTTCGCGACACGAGCGAATGAGTACACAGTCGGGCGAAAAAGTTTGTCGAGCAGAGGAGTATATAATAATTATTGCCAACGTATATGCCCACGGGGCGTAACATGACTGCATATTAAGTTGCATCATAAACAAAAATTAATCGACCCTACTTTCCACGAAGAAAAAAATCATACTATCAAAACTATAATGTGTCTCTACCCAATATCGACCCCCCTCCCCATACAAAGTACGACCCCCCCTCCATGCCGTTTCACACGCAAGAATGCTGTTCTCTGTTGAGAGGATGCATCTCAGTCGCTACCGGACAGATGTCAACAGGACGTTTATGTGTCCGACAAGCCTGAAGTAGGAGCGGGGGAAGATTTGTGACAGGTTCCTAAAGTTATTCAAACGTTCTTAATTCACTCATATCCCTCCATGTACGAAATGGGTTTCATAGCTGTTCAGCAATTCTATGCTACGGTTTTCGACCACTTCCGCCATCGGTTCTTCTTGTCCCGTTTTGCAATTCGAGGGCCTCATGCATTAGTGCCATCGCCTGCATCCCATAAGAGCCAGCACGTCCAATGTTTCACACTTTAAAGGAATATCCAATAGGACTTCTGCAAAAAATGTAGGAGTCATGTATGCATAGCCTGTCGATGTCATTCTTGTAGAACTGCAGTTGTTATGAAACGATCCAAGGAGGAGATGGTGAAGTGTACGCTTACAATGATCCGGGGTCAAATACCGGTTCGGCTTCCGCCAGGATAACCAAGCCTTCTACCCCCCGGGACGGTGAATTGGTACCAGATTCGTCTGGGAGGATAAAACACTGACTTGTACATCGGCTGGTCCCAGCAATCATTGTCCAAGCCACGTCGCGCGCTCAATACACCACTACGATTCACTAGGAAGCAGAGTGCGTGCCGTATCCCAAAAAGGAATTGTTCTCAGCCGAGGTGTCCTCGCCACCTCTTCCTGAGGAACTCTACGCCTTGAGATTAACTACTGCGTCTTATGGGCATATACTCAGAGATGTTTGAACCAACTGGCTTATACCTCACAGAAGGTGGCCGAAGATTCCGGGGCAGCATTACCCCGGACATTTAAAACGGAAAATCTTTCCCAGAAATTCGTCTCCTGTGAATAGCTTGATCACCATGGGTATACCTCACAAGATCTCTGGGCGAACAACTAACTTACAGCTCACGGAGGGTGGTCCACGATCCTGGGGGGAACTTCTTCTGGGAGTTTAACCTTTGAGACGTGAACACTAGCATATACCCTTTCATGCAAAAGCGAGCAACAGTATTCGTGGGCGCTATACGTGCAGGGAACTACTCTAGCTTTGGGCGAATATGCTACGGTTATATGGCTTGTTTTTTGATCTCTATTAATTAAAGTCGAGTGTTCAGCGGTCGATGGCAGGCGCATATGGGACAACAGGAGGCGCGCAGGGCATGGGGCCCGAAACTGCTCCAGTCGACTGCCGCGCGGTCATAATATTCTTTCCTCAGAGGGGGGAGTGGTGTGTGTCCGGACTAGTATGGAAGGATGGACAGTCCTGAACTTCCTGGCTTACGCAATGAGTTGTATGGGTCATAACGCCACCCAATATGCCACCACGATTCTGACCGAAAGTCGAATACAAGGCGCAACCTTGACGAGATCGATCAGAGCCTTTTTGGCTTTTGCTGGGATATGCTGGAATGAAAATGGATTCAGCTGTGTAGGCGCTATGCTGAGAACCCCTTTCTCAGTTTACTGGTGAATGGAAACGACTAAAAGTGATGCTCATGGTCAGTCATTTGTGAACTGACGTTCAGGCAGCAAGGAAAATTAGTCGCCAGAGAGATGGATGGCACGTATCATCGTAGTATTGTAAATGGAGACGCTCCTTGTTTGATTGGCTTAGCATTGCTGCTTTTGGCCGTCTGCCTCAGTCCTACAAAATAGAATTAATAGAATTCCTTTCGACCGAGTGATTTCGAGCTCAGGACAGCGGTTGTCTGAAAATGAGTTCGAAGCTGTTTCCCAGTTAAATTTCCGTATAGATTCGGTACAACAAGGACAAGAATCAAAAAACTGGGACGAAATCTAGTCCTGTCGGTTACCCATCTCACTGAAAATGACACTTCTCATTATGACGATGTCAGATTGAAGGGATAGAACCTGTACTGAAAATGTCATCACGATACTAGTTCCGGGTTGGCTATTGGGAGGACTAGCAACGTGTTGTAGGACGGCACCGGCAAGTGCAAAAGTCGGGATATTCTCGTTGAATTATCACGTGAAACGGTGCACTACTAACCAGAAGAGTACAAGGGTGCATTTCAAGGACACTTTGTGCAAAATTGAGACTACCGCAACGGTGATGAAAATTTCCGTCTAAATTTAGAGGGAGGAGGAGAGGAGTTCCGGGGTGGCCGGTGCAATTTGTAGTACGGTACGGTGGTTCCATTTGCGTCGAAAGGACCTCAGTTTCGCAAGAGCATTCTCTGAATGGTACCTTAAAGGCATATAGGCCCCCAAGTTTCCGCCGAGGCATGGAATTATGTTCCAGAAATGCCTGATGGACAAGCGGACTCTTCTTGGCAGGTGTTCAGGATTCTGAGGCCACCTTTACCGTGTACATTTAACACGGTGATCCTGCACTCTGGAGCCGTATTACATTGCACATTTGGGACAGTGGTCCAAGATTCTGTGGCCTTATTACCTTGTACATTTATAAAGGAAAACCTCTCCTGGAAACTCTACCCTTGAGATTAACTCCATCGCGATGGGAATATACTTCAGAGATGTTTGACCAACTGGCTTATACCTCACAAAAGGTGGCCGAAGATTCCGGGGCAGCATTACCCCGTATATTTAGACCGAAAATCTTTCCCAGAAGTTCGTCTCCTGTGAATAGCTTGATCACCATGGGATTATACCTCAAAGATCTCCGAACAACTAGCTTACACCTCACCGAGGGTGGTCCACGATCCTGGGACCACGGGGAAC